CTTTACTGCTGAGATCTGGAGTAGAGAGATAGCTTAAATACAACATTCAATAGTACATGGGCAGTAGCGTTACTGCTGAGATCTGGAGTAGAGAGATAGCTTAAATACAACAATCACTAGTAAATGGGCAGTAGCTTTACTATATATAGTTTTGGGGTGGGGATCTCAAATGTTTCAAAGTTATGACCCAGGGACTATGTCTTCAAGGGTAAGGCCAGACCATAGGGCCATCCTGGAAGCAAATGTGCATTCTTCTCTATATACTCAGCATTTGTATATATATATGGTTATATGGTGTGGATCTCAACCCATCCCAAGTATTAAACTGTTCTTGGCCCCACCCCTTAGCCCGGGGTTGTGCATGCGATTTGAATCCCTGCCTCCCTTGAATGTTTCCAACCGAATATGATCTATATCCATAGTTCTACAGAAGAAGTCGTTTATAGCAATATAGCAAAATTGCCCCCTTTTGGCCCCGCCCTCAGCCCTCTGGGGGGTCAGTCCCACCATTTGTACAATTTTGAATCTCCACCACCTAGGGATGCTTCCAGTCAAATATGGTTGATATCCATCTCTTACTTCAAGAGAAGAAGTCGTTTATAGCAATATAGCAAAATAACCCTTTTTGGCCCCACCCCTCAGCCACCTGGGGGGTCAGCAACACCATTTATACAATTTTGAACCCCTGCCTCCCATGAATGCTTTTTATTTAAATATGATTGATATCCAGTGCATATAGTTCTACAGAAGAAGTCATTTGTAGCAATGTAGCAAAATTTACCCTTTTTTGCCTGCCCCTCAGCCCCTTGAGGGGTCAGCCCAACCATTTGTACAATTTTGAATCTCCACCACCTAAGGATGCTTCCAGTCAAATATGGTTGATATCCATCTCTTAGTTCCAGAGAAGTCGCTTAAAGCAATATGGCCAAATTGCCCCCTTTTTGCCCCTGGGGGTTCAGCCCCACCATCTGTATAATTTTGAATCCCCACTACCTAGGGTTGCTTCCAGTCAAATTTTATTAAATTCCAATCAGTGGTTAAGAAGAAGAAGTCGCTTAAAGAAATTGATGACAGACAAACGACAGACGCCACAGTATGGCATAAGCTCACCCTTGGTCCTTCGGATCCGGTGAGCTAACAACCACTAGTACATGGGCATAAGGAAGTCATTCTGACAAATTTTATCAAGCAAGATTTAATTATGAAATGGAGTAAAAGATTCACAAAAGAAAAGTGCAGAAGGTGGTACTTGTTACTTACCATCCATACATGTAAGGAGCTGTGCAACAATGCGACGCTCCATATCCTTGGAGGCAGTCTCTCGCTTTGGTGTAATGGCATCGATTTCATCAATGAAAACAATGCATGGCGCAGACATCTACAGAATTGGATAGAAAACAACATTTCTGAAATCCTAACTCAAGAATTCATGAAATCAAAAGATATGACTATCCATTTAAGCATCTTTAATTTGCAGAAATTAAAGTATAAACATGTTCAGTTGAATAGTAGGTCTATTATTATCAGATGGGAATTTCTGTAAGTAATACATTTTATTTCATAATCACTTAAAAACACAAGTAGACGAGGAAAGACCCATCAATTCCTGACATTAATTTCTAACTTTTGAATCAAAACTTACGACAGCTTTGTCGAACAGGTCTCTAATCTTCTCCTCCGACTCCCCAGACACACCCGACACCACTTCTGTGGCTGCTAACTTGATGAAAGGCAAACCCAGCTCCTGGTCAACATAGAGCAGAACCAGGGGATAAAATAATGTACAACATTTATGTTACACATAGTCTGTAACAGAGCATAAAGTTTGCCTTGCAACTTGTCAAAATTACTCAATTTTGAGAATAGCATTCGGTACTCAAGAATTCAGTTTTTAAAAAGTGGTTATTTGAATTTGTAACAGAACTTGAGATGACACATGAATTTCATTTCGTTATATTTTAATCGAGTGGGGCGGGTATGTTGTGGTGCGTGTTGTTGCGCGTGCAGTTCGTGGTTTTGTTGGGCTTACCTGTAAGGGTTTTACCTGTATTCGTCATCGACGAGATTGTTATCGAACCATTCGGACGTACTTTATTTTTGCATTTTATTTTTTATTTTATTGTTTTATTTATTTTTTTTGTTGTAGGTTTTGTTTTGTCATCCTGGATCTTAAGTTTGTCGGACAATACTAATTACTTTTTTCAGTGGTTTATAGAAATGATCTGTACATGAAGTTAATTATGGTATTTTTGTTGTAGAATTGGATTGTGACTGTGAATCTTCAGTTTCAACGTTCCAGGACTTACTCGGAAACGCGCCAGTGGACTTTTCAGACTGCGGACATTTAAAGGCGTGTTCCGAAGTGGGCCTTGGCTACGTGATTTGTAGTAGACATATTTTATGTTTATTGGAGCATTCAATAATGAGCTGTTGTGTTGCAATTTTTCATAGACTGGTTTCATCATAAATGTTTTTCAATATGCAATATCTAACGTCTGATGGAGATATGATTACTTTGTAACAATCCTGTAATGCTAATTATAGTTTATAAAGAATAGCTGTCTTTGTGTTCTTATTTGAATTGAAATATTTAAATATGAAATAATTTATGTGCGCATGAGGTATGAAGTAGTACATAAATAATAAAACATTTCCTCCAGCACTGCCTAGAGCACAGTATACTCTAATGATCAAGCTTTTCCCCTCTAGCACTGCCTAAATAGCAGGACACTCTTGTGGTCATGTTTTCTCCCCTAGCACTGCCTAAAGGGCAGAACACTCTTGTGATCAACTTTTCGCCCTTGGCACTGCCTAAAGGGCAGTACGCTCTCGTGATCAACTTTACTCCCCTAGACACTCTTGTGATCAACTTTACCCCCTTAGCACTGCCTAAAGGGCAGTACTTTCTTGCGATCAACTTTACTCCATTAGCACTGCCTAAAGGGCAGTACCCTCTCGTGATCAACTTTACTCCCCTACCACTGCCTAAAGGGCAGTACACCCTTGTGATCAACTTTTCTCCCTTGGCACTTCCTAAAGGGTAGTACACTCTTGCGATCAACTTTACTTCCCTAGCACTACCTAAAGGGCAGTACACTCTCATGATCAACTTACTCCCTTAGCACTGCCTAAAGGGCAGTACTTTCTTGCGATCAACTTTACTCCCCTAGCGCTGCCTAAAGGGCAGTACACTCAAGTGATCAACTTTACTCCCCTACCACTGCCTAAAGGGCAGTACACCCTTGTGATCAACTTTTCTCCCTTGGCACTGCCTACAGGGTAGTACACTCTTGTGATCAACTTTCCTTCCCTAGCACTGCCTAAAGTGCAGTACTTTCTTTTGATCAACTTTACTCCCCTAGCGCTGCCTAAAGGGCAGTACACTCTCATGATCAACTTACTCCCTTAGCACTGCCTAAATGGCAGTACACTCTCATGATCAACTTACTCCCTTAGCACTGCCTAAATGGCAGTACACTCTCATGATCAACTTACTCCCTTAGCACTGCCTAAATGGCAGTACACTCTCATGATCAACTTACTCCCTTAGCACTGCCTAAAGGGCAGTACTTTCTTGCGATCAACTTTACTCCCCTAGCACTACCTAAAGGGCAGTACACTCTCGGGATTAACTTTACTCCCCTAGCACTGCCTCAAGGGCAGTACACTCTTGTGATTAACTTTACTCCATTAGCACTGCCTAAAGGGCAGTACAATCTTGTAGTCAAATTTACTCCCCTAGCACTGCCTAAAGTGCAGTACTTTCTTTTGATCAACTTTACTCCCCTAGACACTCTTGTGATCAACTTTACCCCCTTAGCACTGCCTAAAGGGCAGTACTTTCTTGCGATCAACTTTACTCCATTAGCACTGCCTAAAGGGCAGTACGCTCTCGTGATCAACTTTACTCCCCTACCACTGCCTAAAGGGCAGTACATTCTTGCGATCAACTTTACTCCCCTAGCACTGCCTAAAGTGCAGTACTTTCTTTTGATCAACTTTACTCCCCTAGACACTCTTGTGATCAACTTTACCCCCCTAGCACTGCCTAAAGGGCAGTACACTCTTGTGATCAACTTTTCTCCCTTGGCACTGCCTAAAGGGTAGTACACTCTTGTGATCAACTTTACTTCCCTAGCACTGCCTAAAGGGCAGTACACTCTCGTGATCAACTTTACTCCCCTAGCACTGCCTGAAGGGCAGTACACTCTCGTGATCGACTTTACTCCCTTAGCACTACTTAAAGGGCAGTACACTCTTGTGACCAACTTTACTCCTCTACCACTGCCTAGAGGGCGGTTCACTCTCGTTGTCAAATTTTCTACCACTGCCTTAAAGGCAGTACACTCTTGGGGTCAACTTTTCTCCCTTGGCACTGCCTAATGGGTAGTACACTCTCGTGATCAACTTTACTCCCCTAGCACTGCCTAAAGGGCAATAAACTCTCGTGATCAACTTTACTCCCCTAGCACTGCCTAAAGGGCAGTACACTCTCGTGATCGACTTTACTCCCTTAGCACTACTTAAAGGGCAGTACACTCTTGTGATCAACTTTACTCCTCTACCACTGCCTAGAGGGCGGTTCACTCTCGTTGTCAAATTTTCTACCACTGCCTTAAAGGCAGTACACTCTTGGGGTCAACTTTTCTCCCTTGGCACTGCCTAATGGGTAGTACACTCTCGTGATCAACTTTACTCCCCTAGCACTGCCTAAAGGGCAGTACACTCTCGTGATCAACTTTACTCCCCTAGCACTGCCTAAAGGGCAGTACACTCTCGTGATCAACTTTACTCCCTTAGCACTGCCTAAAGGGCAGTACACTCTCGTGATCAACTTTACTCCCTTAGCACTACCTAAAGGGCAGTACACTCTTGTGATCAACTTTACTCCTCTACCACTGCCTAGAGGGCGGTTCACTCTCGTTGTCAAATTTTCTACCACTGCCTTAAAGGCAGTACACTCTAGGGGTCAAGTTTTCTCCTAACATGTGAGGAGGCTGACACAAAAACACTTACCCCAGCGATAGCATTGGCCAAGAGAGTCTTGCCACAACCTGGGGGTCCATGGAGGAGGAATCCCCGGGGTGGAGTTACACCTAATTGCTGATAAACTTCAGGGTGTTTCATATGGACCAGCAGCTTACATACCTCCTACATAAAGCAACAAGATCACAAAAGGGTGGTGTGAAATATAACAATATACACACATCCTACTAAAACATCTGGTAAAACTTAAAGATGATTAATACGTAACAGGATAACTTCCCACATGACAACCTCAGTCTGCTTATATCTACTGCCCCTTCTAGCTGAAATCGTTTACCTTTTAAGCTTAACCTTTCACCTCTTAACAATGGAAATATGATCTATTTTAAGTCAGCTGTGTATAACCTAATATTCTGCAATACAATAATATATTCCAATATTTGTTAGCATTTCTATTGAGAAGATGTGACAGCTTACTTTTGTTTTTACCTCTGACCATTATACATGCATATAATTTACATGCATTAAAACATTTAAAAAAGCATTTTGCATGAAATGTTAATACAAATATACCAATAATTTTCTAAACATAATAGTTTGAAAATTTTGCAATTTTTCAAATTTTGCAATTTTTCATTACTTTATGTCAATAGATTTATGATAAGGCATCATTTGTTACCATCAAACACTTTTCATTGCCACCAAAGTCTGCAAAGGTCGCTGATGATATCTGAACTTCTGGTCCTGAGGAAAAGAAAATTGTGCTATGAGTCTGTTTAATATAAATTAATAGCCTCTGCGAGTAATTGATCTGAAATAAATTAAATTGAATTGAAGAATCATTTATACAAACAAAATTCTCACTCTCTCAGAAGTGATCAAGTTGGAATCAAACAGCAAGCTATTTTAAATTCATTGCTGTAAAAAAAAACAATCATTCTGATTCATGATATATATATATATATATATATTTACCATTTTCTTGCAGATAATCAGTTGTGTTTACCTTTGCTTTTCTTTGCCTGTCTTTCATTATCACCATCATCTTTATTTCTCCTTTTTTTAATAATCTGAAAAATAGAATTTCAAGCAAAATCATCCTTGACTTGTGTAGGAAATAGTTAATGGAAACACTTCTGTAATTTGCATAGCAGACCATAAGTATTAAGTAATTTCTGAATAAATCTCAATATTCTCATTGGATTATATCATCACGGTATTTAAAGACAGAAACTTTAATATCTTGCATCACCATTTAAAGCCGGTAACTAAATTAAATTCAGTTAACTAACATAACATTTTCCTCGATACTGGAGGGGTTATGCTCACTTACTTTCTCTGCACCCCGAAATATATCATGACAAAAATCGAACATCCGAAGGCTCAGTTTATGCCATCTTGTGTATAAGCAAGAAGACTAGTGAGATCCTTTGATGTACATCAAAAGAATATTGTGGCCAACTGGTAAAATTGACTTCCTTTGATGTCGGTTGTTGCTCTTCTGTAATCTTCAAAGGACAGATATCAGCTTAGCGATTGGTCAGGGTTTTTTGACACAAGACCATCAAATAGCTTACAATGTGCCTTCAATTTTGCTAAGACATACTCCACAGGTGCAGAGAGCGTAAGTGAGTGTGACCCCTGGAGTATCGAGGATGACCTAACAATAGTGTTGTAGTTTATATTTAGCCGTATATGTGTTACATGGTAATATTGCTACATAATCATCCTAAATTCCAATGCTTGCCTACCTTTTTAACACTTCCTTTCTTAGTATGTTCCTTTTCATCCAGAACAATTACATCCATAACATCAGCAACAGGTTTCTTTTTATGTTTATCCAGAAACTTATCATTAGGCGTAGAGTTAATTCCCTTAGACCCTACCCTGTCAAGAAAGAATGTGGTGTCAGTACCACCAGAATCCATCTCCTCCAGAAATACACTTTTATTTGTACTCCTATTGTCCTCTTTTGAAACATTGGAGCAAGGAGAATCAGTTATGTTGATCTGATCACAAAATGACATTCCGGAATCTTGGTCCTTTTTGGAAGTTTGTGAACTGGAATCGTACCAGGGAGATGATGGTTTTGAGTTACTACTGTCTTTACAAGGTACTGGCTTTGGGCTTTTCTGGTAGAGGTTTGTCATCATGTTGTTCATGCCATTTGTCTCCTGAAACGTTAACAATTACATATGTATCCAAAGGTTAAAACTGTCATTTGTACAAGTTTTGTCAGGTATAATTAAAACTTCACATGTACCTGATATAATGAGAAATATCTGGTGAATAAATCCAATCATCTTTGATAATTAGTCTAAATGACAAGAGTCTTTTGCTGAAATGTTACACTTACATATTTATCCAAAGGTTAATACTGGCATTTGTACAAGTTTTGTCAAGTATAATTAAAACTTAACATGTATCATCTTTGTTATAGTCTAACTGACGAGAGTCTATTGCTGAAATCTGTACACTGTACAATAGTATCTACAGATATTATAACAGTAGTAACATGATCCTGAATATCTTCTGGACAACATGTTTCAAGGAGAATTTCCTCCAGGAGATGAAAGTGCTAAAGATGTGTTGTTGTTGAGAAGTTATTAATTTTAAAAAATTAGACAGAAACATGTTGTGAAATTAAGGCATATGTGATGTGACAAGAGGCCAATGGCCACAAAGCTGGTGGGCTAACATTATTTGTATCCCAAGAATCACATTGTATGGACACTAAATACACCGCAAACTGACACTATTTTTAGCACAGATGTGGATAAAATACAAAAGATTTATGCACAAGTAGAATTTTTTATTTAAATTGATCACTTGTTTTAGTGGCAAATTATGACAACATTCTTACTGTTGTCATGTGGATGAAAATATTTTTCTGACAGTTACTACATACAGAGTATAAAATCCATAAAATCTGCAAGTGTCCATTACAATGTACAACTAACCTCATATGATACATAGATCTCTGGATCGGAAGAGAAACTTCCGGATAAATCTGAGGAATCACCATCATCTTCTGGTGATCTGAAAATCAAATATAAGCAATTATTATACATCTAAAGCAGAACACTAAATTCAATATAATGCTGGCCGTTTATGATAAACTTTTTTATAATGAAAAATTTAGTGCTGGATGATGATGCACTTTTGGCAGGTGAGCCAACTAAAAATAATAAATTCTTATTAAAACTGGATTAAATGAAGTGCATCTACAGTTTTACGTTATTTCCCTAAGTTTATTGTTTGTTCTAAGCTAGAACTGTAAGCCAAAGGCTAACTAATACCCCTGCTGCTATATAAACCAGAACTGTAAGTTAAAGGCTTACTAAGGCAAAGCATTGCAAAGCAATCCATAGTCACCGACCAGTAACAAGTATTTCACACAAAGGGGCATACCTCCATCAAAAAAGGTCGAAATCTCAAATTATCTCCAATCATTTATGCAAAGTTTCAATGAAATCCACCTGTTAGTAAAGGAGGAGTTGAACGGACAAGTTTTTCGCGCAAAGGGGCACAACTCCATTAAAAAGGATCGAAATCCCAAATAAAAATGCCGGTGCACAACTACATAAGATACTGATCATTCATGCAAAGTTTCAATGAAATCCACCTGTTAATTAAGGAGGAGATTTCCAGACAAGTATTTTGCAAAAAAGGGGCATAACTCAATCAAAAAGGGTTGAAATCCCAAATTAAAATGCCGGTGCACAACTACATGTACATAAGATACTGATCATTCATGCAAAGTTTCAATGAAATCCACCTGTTAATTAAGGAGGAGTTTTCCGGACAAGTTACTGCGGACGACAGACAGACATCCAGACAGGGTGATTCCAGTATACCCCCCCTAATTTCGTTTCGGGGGTATAATAATGTTATAATAAAGGGGAAAATTTTGGTTCCTAATATAGAATTTAATACCTTTCAGGAAAGCCCTAGGAAATGAGCATACTATTTCATTTGCTAGTTTGTCAGTGTTATTATCAAAATGCATTTTACATTAATGTACATGTAGATTTTGTAATTTTTGTATATGTATCATTTTATGAATTTGAGTTTTTCATCTCCAAGAGAGATATTCATTTGATGAACAATTTAATTTTGAATACTGACTGTTCCTTGATCATCCCTAAGTCTGACTTCAACAGATAATAATGTAAAAAAGACTCTGGATCTCACGTTGTCAGTCATTAATCATATTTATTATTACCTTTGATTTTTTGTACTTGTTTTTTGCCTTTTCCGAAGATGCTGGTCTTCCAGTTGGCTTGTGCTGTCTATTCCTCCTTCCTTTAAGACGACTTTGTAAGCTGTGAAATTAAGGAAAAATATCTTTGATTAAAACTTCATTCTTGTAAATTTTGCAACAAAAGAACATAAGATATAAATAGAAAATTGTATCCTTTTTAACATATCTTCTCTATATGCACAGTGTATTTGCGGTAGCTTCAAGATCTCTCATTATTAACACTCTACTTCATAACCCATTATAATTACTATGGTTGCGTTTTTACCCTGTCTGTGATAAATACATACATGTACATTAAGCAAACCTATGGATACTGGTACCTTTTTCCACAGACTTCGTAAACGCATTTTTCTTCTTCCTAGCATACTCGCTGAAAGAAAAAAAGGATCTTAAACTTAAAGTATTACAATACATTTTTGTACAAGCTCTAGAATGAAGTGAATGAGATTTTACACATTATTGAATTATTTTTATCAAGGTGAGTGACGAGGCCCAGGGTCTGATCATGGTTTATTGTCCTTGCAGCAGCCAGGGTCACATAAAGATGTGTATCTAGGAAGTGACACCAATAAGAGAATATAGGAAAGAAAAAGATTTGAAATGTTACAATGGGGCCAGCACATCACAATATAAAATTACTAGGTCTCATAATTGACTCAAAATTAAACCATATTTGTGGCATTCATCTCAAGTAGCTTCTACGTATACTTTATATATTACAGCTAGAGCATGAACTGTACGTACTGTAACAATATGTAACCCTGGTAAATACTAGCCGCAATATATCGCTCGGCTATAGAGAACTTCTCTTTAGCTCGATCGGTTGAGCGTAAGACTAGTATGCCAGAGGTCCCGGGTTCGATCCCTAGCGGAGGCAGTGATTTAAATTTAATTAATCATGCGCTCTGTTACATTGGCGCCCACGTAGGGACCCGGGAAAAATACTCGACCTTGCTTCACAAGCATCGCTGTTACCCCTGGAAAACTCGAGGACGAGTTCTTTCCTGGAAGGGGAGTATGTAACCCTGGTAAATACTAGCCGCAATATATCGCTTGGCTATAGAGAACTTCTCTTTAGCTCGATCGGTTGAGCGTAAGACTAGTATGCCAGAGGTCCCGGGTTCGATCCCTAGCGGAGGCAGTGATTTAAATTTAATTAATCATGCGCTCTGTTACATTGGCGCCCACGTAGGGACCCGGGAAAAATACTCGACCTTGCTTCACAAGCATCGCTGTTACCCCTGGAAAACTCGAGGACGAGTTCTTTCCTGGAAGGGGAGTATGTAACCCTGGTAAATACTAGCCGCAATATATCGCTTGGCTATAGAGAACTTCTCTTTAGCTCGATCGGTTGAGCGTAAGACTAGTATGCCAGAGGTCCCGGGTTCGATCCCTAGCGGAGGCAGTGATTTAAATTTAATTAATCATGCGCTCTGTTACAATATGAATAGGAGCTTGAGAGTCTTACCCAAATTGATTCTGTAGGTCATCAGCCATAACACTGGCAACAACTGGTTTCCTTGAGGCACTAGCATACTTGACATACTGAAACAGTGGATTGTATTGATGTAGTTATGTTGTCTACATCTTGCAATGGTGACAATGATGTGGGGGTGGGATCGATCCAGGCAAGTCTAACATAACAGTATATTAAGTTGTTTTTTAATTGATTTGAAAGAATGTCTGAATTGTAAAACCTTATCAGGTAAGTTAGATTCACAATTACTAGAATTCATTGACTTTCACTTTCCCCTTAAATGATTATCAGACTAAAACAAGACTGAGGCTCAAAACATGAAGACAAGTAAACTTAAAGATCACAAAAATATTCAGATAATCTTAACGTGTCAAATATCCCTTTTTCTGTATTATATATTGCAATCTGCATTTTAATTACTTTATTCGGTTATCAGCATGTTTCGGACAAGCTTCCACTAAAGACTGCTGTATCTACTGGGAGTCGTTTAATTTGTCAGTAACAGGTAATAGAAACATCCGACTGGGATCTGCCAACGCAAAATGTTTGGGCACACGATCAAGTTATCTCTGACATACTATACCGGTAAGTTTTACGCACCTGTCGAACTCGTGACAGCAACCGTGGATCACTAAAATACTGTCCCTGCTGCTTCTTTTGGGCCGACATACTCGAGGAATTTAGAACATGATAAACCCACGAGTTTCTCACCGGATATAGAAGAACAAGTGTAAAACGCTTCAGGAAGCGGATAAAATAATCCGGAGTGACAGGCATACATTTACGAGTTTTGGTTTACGATTGGTCAAACTCCACTTGACTTGTGGAGTCCTTTTTACATTCAATAAATTTCAATAAAACTTCATGAGTTTTATACTTCACACAAATTCACTCAAAGTGTCGAATGGCCGTAAAACAATACAAAACTAATCGATAGAGTCTAACGTTAGGCCTAATTAAAAGTACACGGGGAAAAACATGTTTAAATTTATATAATTACCGTTACGTTAAATTCAGAAACCGTTGAAATCCGTGATTCGTGACCCGGAAGGTTCTCATTGGTTCATATTGTGGCAATACAACTTTAGTTCATGACGGCAGACTTCCAAATGCACCGAGACGTCATGAAAGCAAGGTGACATAAGTGCAACAAATATTGTTAATTGTGTCAAACGGAATCTTAGGTGAGTCTCCATTTCATTTGAAACCAAATAAAACAATTATATAACATATGCATTTCATCATACATAATACATTCTACTTTCACACATACTTTCATATTAATCCATGTTACTCTTTTGTGTAAGTGGCATTTTATTTATTGTAACATTAGAAAGGAAGGAAAATCAGATAAAGTGAAACAAGAAAAAAACAAAGAAATAGAAAAAATAAACACAGGTAAATGGACAGAAAGAAAGAAAGACAGGTAGACAAACAGACGTACGGACAGACAGTCAAAGGATCCCCGGAGAAGTAATTAAAAGTATCAAACAAACTAATTTAAAGGATAGAAATCTGGCTTGACTAAAACACATTGTCACACACTCGACAAAATTCAACTGCCTATAGCTACAGATGCTTACATATTTTTGTCTGAATTATGAAAAATACTACTTTTGCACAGTGTAATGTTTTGCTCAACTATAAGCCGCTGAAGATCTACCTTGCAGATACCTACTTGTCACTATTCTATAGTAATTGGAACATCTTTACCAATTTTCACGACAAACATGACAAGTTTAATAAAACTTTTCTTATCTAAATGATTGTTCCTGTGTTATTTGAATAAAACTTTTCTTATCTAAATGATTGTTCCTGTGTTATTTTAATTCAAGTGCAATATTACACTAAAACTTTGTAGTATTTTACAGTACTTTGGGAATAGCTTTACTTTATATTATTTGGTGATATGTTTAAGAGTATTTCACATTACCTGGGAATAAGCTTGAGAGTATTTCACAATACTTCAGGACATGCTTTAGAGTACCTTGGGGACATGATTCACAGAAACATTTGTGAATGTGTTGTTAGTTACCCTATATATATAGAAGGGTTCAGTGTGAAATGTGTTGTTAGTTACCCTATATATATAGAAGGGTTCAGTGTGAAATGTGTTGTTAGTTACCCTATATATAGAAGGGTTCAGTGTAAAATGTGTTTTTAGTTACCCTATATATAGAAGGGTTCAGTGTAAAATGTGTTGTTAGTTACCCTATATACATTGTATAGACGGGTTCAGTGTAAAATGTGTTGTTTGTTACCTATATATAGAAACCCGGGTTCAATGTAAAATGTGTTGTTAGTTACCCTATATATATAAGGATTCAGTGTTAAATGTGTTGTTAGTTACCCTATATATAGAAGGGTTCAGTGTAAAATGTGTTGTTAGTTACTCTATATACATTGTATAGACGGGTTCAGTGTAAAATGTGTTGTTTGTTACCTATATATAGAAACCCGGGTTCAATGTAAAATGTGTTGTTAGTTACCCTATATATATAAGGATTCAGTGTTAAATGTGTTGTTAGTTACCCTATATATAGAAGGGTTCAGTGTAAAATGTGTTGTTAGTTACTCTATATATAGAAGGGTTCAATGTAAAATGTGTTGTTAGTTACCCTATCTATAGAAGGGTTCAATGTAAAATGTGTTGTTAGCTACCCTATCTATAGAAGGGTTGAATGTAAAATGTGTTGTTAGTTACCCTATATATATAAGGGTTCAGTGTAAAATGTGTTGTTAGTTACCCTATATATATATAAGGGTTCAGTGTTAAATGTGTTGTTAGTTACCCTATATATATAAGGGTTCAGTGTTAAATGTGTTGTTAGTTACCCTATATATATAAGGGTTCAGTGTTAAATGTGTTGTTAGTTACCCTATATATATAAGGGTTCAGTGTTAAATGTGTTGTTAGTTACCCTATATATATAAGGGTTCAGTGTTAAATGTGTTGTTAGTTACCCTATATATATAAGGGTTCAGTGTTAAATGTGTTGTTAGTTACCCTATATATATAAGGGTTCAGTGTTAAATGTGTTGTTAGTTACCCTATATATATAAGGGTTCAGTGTTAAATGTGTTGTTAGTTACCCTATATATATAAGGGTTCAGTGTTAAATGTGTTGTTAGTTACCCTATATATATAAGGGTTCAGTGTTAAATGTGTTGTTAGTTACCCTATATATATAAGGGTTCAGTGTTAAATGTGTTGTTAGTTACCCTATATATATAAGGGTTCAGTGTTAAATGTGTTGTTAGTTACCCTATATATATAAGGGTTCAGTGTTAAATGTGTTGTTAGTTACCCTATATATATAAGGGTTCAGTGTTAAATGTGTTGTTAGTTACCCTATATATATAAGGGTTCAGTGTTAAATGTGTTGTTAGTTACCCTATATATATAAGGGTTCAGTGTTAAATGTGTTGTTAGTTACCCTATATATATAAGGGTTCAGTGTTAAATGTGTTGTTAGTTACCCTATATATATAAGGGTTCAGTGTTAAATGTGTTGTTAGTTACCCTATATATATAAGGGTTCAGTGTTAAATGTGTTGTTAGTTACCCTATATATATAAGGGTTCAGTGTTAAATGTGTTGTTAGTTACCCTATATATATAAGGGTTCAGTGTTAAATGTGTTGTTAGTTACCCTATATATATAAGGGTTCAGTGTTAAATGTGTTGTTAGTTACCCTATATATATAAGGGTTCAGTGTTAAATGTGTTGTTAGTTACCCTATATATATAAGGGTTCAGTGTTAAATGTGTTGTTAGTTACCCTATATATATAAGGGTTCAGTGTTAAATGTGTTGTTAGTTACCCTATATATATAAGGGTTCAGTGTTAAATGTGTTGTTAGTTACCCTATATATATAAGGGTTCAGTGTTAAATGTGTTGTTAGTTACCCTATATATATAAGGGTTCAGTGTTAAATGTGTTGTTAGTTACCCTATATATATAAGGGTTCAGTGTTAAATGTGTTGTTAGTTACCCTATATATATAAGGGTTCAGTGTTAAATGTGTTGTTAGTTACCCTATATATATAAGGGTTCAGTGTTAAATGTGTTGTTAGTTACCCTATATATATAAGGGTTGAATGTAAAATGTGTTGTTAGTTACCCTATATATATAAGGGTTCAGTGTAAAATGTGTCGTTAGTTACCCTATATACATTGTATAGAAGGGTTCAGTGTAAAATGTGTTGTTAGTTACCCTATATACATTGTATAGACGGGTTCAGTGTAAAATGTGTTGTTTGTTACCTATATATAGAAACCCGGGTTCAATGTAAAATGTGTTGTTAGTTACCCTATATATATAAGGATTCAGTGTTAAATGTGTTGTTAGTTACCCTATATATATAAGGGTTCAGTGTTAAATGTGTTGTTAGTTACCCTATATAAAGAAGGGTTCAGTGTAAAATGTGTTGCTAGTTACCCTATATATAGAAAGGTCCAATGTAAAATGTGTTGTTAGAAGGGTTCTATAAAATGTGTCGTTAGTTACCCTATATATAGAAGGGTTCAGTGTAAAATGTGTTGTTAGTTACCCTATCTATAGAAGGGTTCAATGTAAAATGTGTTGTTAGCTACCCTATCTATAGAAGGGTTGAATGTAAAATGTGTTGTTAGTTACCCTATATATATATATTTGTCTTGGAGTTTCGCAGTGAAATGACAAAAATACTATCGGAATTACATTTCATGTAGTGAATACAAATTAAACAAGGTCACCTGGAAGGTTGAACAAGGTCATCTGGAATGTTGGGCAAGGTTAGCAGGAAGGTTGAACAAAGTCATCAGGAAGGTGAAACAATGCCATCCGGAAGGTTGGGCAAGGTTATCAGGAAAGTTGAACAAGGTTATCAGGAAAGTTGAAGAAGGTCATTAGGAAGGTGAAAGAAGGTAATCAGGAAGGTTGAACAAGGTCATCAGGAAGGTGAAACAAGGTAATCAGAAAGGTTGAACAAGGTCATCAGGAAGGTGAAACAAGGTCATCAGAAAGGTTGAACAAGGTTATCAGGAAAGTTGAACAAGGTTATCAGGAAAGTTGAAGAAGGTCATAAGAAAGGTGAAAGAAGGTAATCAGGAAGGTTGAACAAGGTCATCAGGAAGGTGAAACAAGGTAATCAGAAAGGTTGAACAAGGTCATCAGAAAGGTTGAACAAGGTCATCAGGAAGATGAAACAAGGTAATGAGAAAGGTTGAACAAGGTTATCAGAAAGTGCTTCTTCAATGTATCACACGTGGCATCCGTCGTTGTTCCGACTGTACAACATTCACAATGAAAATATCCATTACTCAGTGAAAACTTTCTTTGACATTCACTGCAACCGTTCTGGCTTGTTTAAATGATTCTCTAAAGAGTATATTCAGAAAGGTTAATTCATGAAATTATTTTTGGACGAAATGCAAGTAATCTGTATAAAGTAACATGATGTTCTGTATAGATGTGTCTTCTCTTTTTGTTTGTTTTTGTTTTGTAGACCGGAATTGAACCTGTGGGACTTCAAAAAATGTCGGAGTTTAATTGCCATTAATTAATGACTCTAGCCTAATTGCACTGTCTTACATGTACATCGTTTCATTTGTTCTTTTTGTTTGATGTCCCCTCTATTGTCGTCTTGTACTTTCGTAACATATTTTTATCTGCCTTACTGTTACAGGAACGATTATGTCAACACTGTACTATGCACTAGGTCACCTAAGATGCTAACTCACGTCAACATGTCCTAT